GTGAGTCCAAGGCCAGCCTGGTCTACATAGTGAGTTCCAGGACAGCTGGGGCTACAGGGAGACCCTGTCTCAAAAAGACAAAAAATATATTTATAATAATATAAATAATATATTTATAATATATATATTTTAAGGGAGTATACTTTTCTAATTTGAGTGAGGGGGAGAGGGAGAGGCAGAGAAGAGAAATATGTTGCTTTGCTATGGGAAAATAATATATATTGTGTATCCAAGAAAATTCATTTTTCTGCTGGTTGTCGGTGGTGTGGTCCAGCCTGGGTCCTAGAAACAGGAACAGGGTGTGAGTCACTTTGTTCTTCTGTTGTCTCTTCTCTTCCTTGTAGAGAAAAGTGTTTGACTGTGTATTGTACATCCTTCATGTCATTAAGGTCTGGGATTTCTTTTTGATATTTAGTACTCAGACCTCAGTATTCGTTTTCTGATCATCCCTGTGTTTTTTTTTTCCTGTCCCTGTTCTGATCTTTTGTCCCGGATGGGGTGGAGAAGCAAAGGCACATTCATGGTTTATGAGGATAAAATAAAAAGATTTCTTGGAATATGGGTTATAACATATATGTGTGTATATATATATGTATGTATTTATATATGTTAGTTATCTTTTAAAAAACATTTGCCCCACTGGAACGTTTAATTACCTTGCTGAATCAGAACTAACTGAGCAATTGAAATCTGTGTATTTTTAAAAGGCTCAAAATAAACATGTTTCTTCACTCTCTTTTCTCCTCAGTCCTTATCCACTTTAGTCAGAATCATTAAAATAAACTGTCTTTGAAATCTGTGTGTAGTGAACGTTTTACCTATTAACACAGATAAGAGGATCGTTTTTTAGGGTTTTGCTCAGGTTTTTAAAAATATTTCTTATTTAAAGTTTTTTATTGCCTTTATGTAAGTACACCCATGTCGTATAATTCCTGTAGAGGTCAGAAACGGGGGTCAGATCCCCTGGAACTGGAGTTATGGACAGTTGTTAGCTGCCATGTGGGTGCTGGGAACTGAACCTGGGTCCTCTGCAAGAGCAGCCAGTGCTCTTGACCGCTGAGCCATCTCTCCAGCCCCATAATTTTCTTTTCTTTCCTTTCCTGTTCCATTTTTGGTGGTGCTGGGGATTGAACCCAGGGCCTCACGCATGCTAGATAGCAGTTGTACCACTTCCTGGGTCAACAGCTTGCTCTGCGTTGTGCTCTGGGTGCCTGATGCTGTGGTCTCAGGTACACTGTTGAAAACCCTCTAGCGCCACCACGTGGAGCACGGTAGACAGTGTTTCTGAGAGTGAGATAAAGCCTAGCCAGCTAGAATCATTCCTGCACTGATAGCGGCAACATTAAAGACATTTTTCAAGGATTAAAAGCATTTTTAAAAAGTTTTACTTATTATTTTTATTTTATGTGTATGCGTGCATTGCTTGCATGTAGGTAAGTGCACCCGTGTCGTGCAATAGCCTGGGGAGGACAGAAGAGGCTGTCGGATCCCCTGGAATGGAATTAAGGACAGTTGTTATCTACCACGTGGGTGCTGGGATTCAAACCCGGATCTTCTGCAAGAACAGTCAGTGTTCTTAACCGCTTAGCCATCTCTTCAGCCCCCTAAAAGCTGAAAACGAAGATTATTACCTTAAGGCAGTAGGCAAGGAGTTGGTGCAGTCAGTTTTCTACAGTTCTTTCCCCTCAGGTGATAGAGACACAGGTGTGGTGGTGGTGACAGGGCCGACTACCATGTAAATCTGTGAGATTAATTGTAGCATCTTTCTACTGACTGGAAATCTCACATTATTTGGACATGCGTGGCTGCATATTTGACTAAACTCATTTCATTCTCTATGATTTCAGATTAATCGAGCCCCAAGCTTTGGAACTGATCAGAAGATAGACTATGACGTCAAAAGGGGTGTTCTATTGAATGCACTACAGCTGCTTAACATCAGGTAAAGTGCTTTCTCCACCTGTTGGAGCTTGCTTTTTCTGGTGCAGAGAGTAAACACCTGCAGTAGACATGGTTCAGTTACATTCACTAGGGAATGCAAGGTTGAGCTGGTGTATGGTAGGAGAGCCTTAAGTTTTTCTTCCTCCTGCGACGGGAAAGTTAAAGAGTCACTCAGGAAATGATAAAACCTCAGACCTGGATTCCCTGCTTATGCAAGGTGTGCTGCTTTCCTTTCTGTCTCACTGCTGTGTAAACAGAAAAGAAGCAATTGTTCAACGAGGGAGAACTTCATCATTGAAAAGTATAGACAGAGCAGGGAGAATTTGAGAGGAAACTTGGTTTGTATGGTGCTAAACTTCTGGAAGTGTACATGATCACAGATTCAGGTATTGAACTGCTATTAAGCAGGAAAGGCTTTTGATTAATTATGCAAGAAATTTGTTACGGGAGGCAGGAGGATTGTGAGTTTGAAGCCACCTTGGGTTACATAATACAAGCCTGTTTCTTCGAATGCAAAAAAGAAAAACAAAATTTAACTGAGTTGCTTCATGAAGTAGGCCTGTAGAGATCTGAAAACAGAGCTCAGCATATTGAATAAAGGACTTCTGAGTTCATTTAGGACCACAGAGTTTATGACTTCAGTTTGTTCTAATTGCCCCTCAGGCATGCTTAAGAGTTAAGGGATACTTCAAGAAATTTTCTTAAAGGATTTTAAAGCATTTAGCAGGTGCCTTATTGAAACTTAGCTTTATTTAGAAAAAGATCATCAAAAAAAAGACATGGACATTAGCTTTGACATTTCCATATGGCTTATTCTTTTGTTTGGTGAAAGATGTGCTTATCTAAATTCCTTTTTCAGTTTAGTTATTCCAAAAGCAACGGGCAGAAAGGAAGGGCCTACAGCATCAGATTTTGTTGTTTGGCCTACACACTGTATTATTTTCGATTATTTAAACTATACTCTTTTGAATGAACTTTATTATTATGACTGAACCTTATACTTAATTTTAGAGGTATCTTTGGCATAGCTTTGTCTTTATAAATGTTGGTTCCAATTCAGAAATTATTGGGGTATTTTAAAGGTGGGTGTATATACAACTTAAGGAGCCAGAAATCTCTAAAGCTGTGAGTTTAGAAAAGTCGAAACGCTTCTTCCCTGTCTCTTCATGTTTCCACAGAGGACTTAGCACAGTTTGTAATACTTCCAGCACATGTATGTTGCAGATGTGCCTTCTCTCTGCAAACAGATGGAGGACGCCATAGTACATGTCTCGGATGTAAGTTTATGTGGCTGGTGCTGTGCTTGGCATATCACAGCGACATAAGCAGGATCTGTGAATACTAGGAAAGACTTGCTTTTATTAAGTACTTTAGGATTAATTTTCGTATGAGTCATTTTAATGTTGGATGGACTTGTTCTGCGATACCAGAAATGGCCTCTTTATGGTCCTGTTAGACAACCAAAATGAGCCTTTTTCTCTCTATTATTTAATTTTCTCAGGAATCCAGACAGGTTTTTATTTCCAATACCCAGGCTAAGCTCCTTCCATAGGATAACAACCCATAGTCCTTGCAATTTCTTGTTCTTGCCAAGCTTTGTTAGAAGGGCTGATTATCTAATTATTTCCCCGATCGCCTGCTCATTCCCACTGATGATTTGTTTTATTCCCTAGCCTTTCCTTACTGTCTATAACTCAACATTCCAGCTTTTATTAGAAGACTCTTTATTTTGACCCAAGTGATTCTTTCTATTTTTTAATCTTTAGGAGGCATTATAGTCTATACAGTATAAGACTTCTTACTTTTTTTTTATATATTCTGTGCAATTTTACCAGGGCATGACTAACTTTTTCAATTTGATGTCAGCTCCTTCCAGTTAAATAGTGTACAGTTTTGTGTTCTCACAGACCTTACTACTGCCCTCCATTTATGATATAGCTTCATCTGTACCTCCAAGTTATCTTTTTATCTCTATGCTTTTAGGCTTATGAGATTCAGAAGAACATATATCTCAGAAAGGCTCATCCCAATGGCTGTGAATACAGATACTCAGGCAGGGGGCATCAGAACCGATCCATCTGCACTTAGCAGAATATAATGTGAGCTCATGTTCAGCCCATATTCTGAAACATGAGGCTGGAGATCTTCTGAGATAACAGCATAAAAGGTCCCAAGTGTAAAACACATGATGATGGTTCTTCTGTGATAAGAGAAAAATTCAGTTGTGTTGTGCAGATGTTCCTGGATTGAGAATTGTTTAGTTTCTTCTGTGAATATTCCACAGTTATTAAAATAGTATCTGGAAAAGACAGGGTAACCATGAGTCTCTAGATCTGAAATATCTGTTAATTAGATGAGGTTAAATTAAAGTACTTGCTTTTTTAATTAAAAATATCTTTATTTTATGTGTATGAGTGCTTTTCCTGCCTATATGTAAGTGTACCATATGTGTGCAATTTCCTTGGAGGCCAGAAGAGGGCGTCAGGTCCCCTGAGACTAGAGTTACAGATGGTTCTTAGCCATGGGTGCTGGAAACTGAACCTGGATTTGCTGCAAGAGCAGCCAGGGCCCTTAACTGCTGACCCATCTCTCCAGCCTGAAGTACTTGTTTTTTATTTAGAACTAATTTGTGGGTGATAGGCCTGCAGTGTTTAGTACTCCAATGGTCTGGGACATTGGTCCTCTTTGGACACCCATCGTCACTTAACTTGGACCTTTATGGTTCTTTGCCACTGTGTGCCTCACTGCTCTTTTCCTCCATGACAGTTCCACTCATTCTTGTGGCTTTTCCTGTGAGTGAGACACTGGAGTCCGTAATCTGTGCATGTGCATAGTGACATCTAGATTGAGTTGCATCTTGCTGGTTCTGGCTCCCTCTGGAGCAGAAGTCCTGCATTTGATGCTGTCTGCTGATGGTGTGCATCAGGTGCTTTTGGTCCAGTGGTGCTCTATAAACAATGACTAAGGAAGGAGGTGGATGAATGAATAAATGGGTAATTTATTTAATGACATTTAGATTAAATATGACCAATGCCGAGTTATTTTTTTCCCTCAGGTTCATCTTCTTGAAGTCTTCCCTACCCCATAATGACATCACAGATCTCCAGCCCATCAATGCTAAATATAATTCACATGTATTTACTGGACATTTTTTAAAAGCTTATTTTGTCTAGAACCGATGATACAGAAATAAACGCAATTTTCTTTTTTAAGCATAGTTAAAGCCTATTCACTTAGGGTCACTAAAGAAATGGGAGGACAGAGCAGTGGCATTCATAAACCGTCCAGTGATTCTGTAGTAACAGCACAGAGCATACGAAGCAAGGGTTAGCAAAGTTCCCCCGGATGGACTTGCAAGGTGATGAGCATGGAAAGGAACTGCGAAAGTACCAAGAATGGACAGGTTCTGTCTTTCTTGGCTATGTTAGTTAATGGTAAAGACACCCACACAAACGTCCAGTCTTACAGGGCTAAGTGTTGTCCTTAAGCCCTTCCTCTGTTATGAATCAACTGAACGTGGCTAAATTGATAGCGGCCACTTAGAACTCAGCTCTTCTCTCGAAGTTTCGGATCTCCGCATGTGTCCCTTGCTACTTTGCTGGTTTCCTTCCTCCATCCAGCACTAACTGCCTTCTCTCAGAGGCACTGCAAATCATTCAACAATGTTTTGTACATCCACAGTAATTGCAGCAGGTGTGGAGGATTCAAGATCTCCTGTGGTTGCTGGGTTTTTGGCAGGGATGACTTGTTTGATAATGTGCCAATCACTAAGATAGAGATTATAGAGGCTTGAAGGCTTAGAGGAGTGGTGGGAGATGGCAAGAGTGTGAGAGGTAACTAAGTTTTAAGGCATGCTAATTTTGAGGTGGTTTGTGACAGAGGCTATGGTAAATGGGAAATTTGGTACACGGGGCCGCAGGTGGTAGAAATGGTTGTTTGATTAGCAGCCACACATAGATTGCAGTGGAATACTTATTTTGAGAAGTGGAAGGCAGGGCAAAGTCCTGAGGGGTGTAACATTTGAAGTGTTGCTGTTATAAACTCTGAGATCCTGATCAGATTGTCTTTACATTACCAGTCAGAGCTCAAACTCCTTCACTTTACTTACACATCACTTTGATCTTTAGATTATATTATGCAAGGCACTTTTAAATATTTTATTTATGATTCTTTTTTTATGTGTATGAGTGTATTGCCTACACATATGTAACTGTACCCATGTAATGCAATGCACATCACTTTGATCTTTAGATTATATGCAAGGCACTTTTAAATATTTTATTTATGGTTCTTTTTTTTATGTGTATGAGTGTATTGCCTACACATTTGTAACTGTACCCATGTAATGCAATAACTGCGGAGGTCAGAAGAGGGCATTGGATTCCCCTGGAACTGGAGTTATGGACAGTTGTTAGCCACCATATGGGTGCTGCGACTCGAACCCAGTCCTCTTCAAGGGCAGCCAGTGCTCTTAACCACTGAGTCATCTCTCTAGCCCCAACTTTTACAAATGATTTATTTTTCATTATTTTAAATTATGTGTGTGTGTGGGTATGTGCATATGCGTTCAGGTGCTTTCAGAAGCTGGAATCCCTGGTTACAGGTGGTTCTGAGTCTCCTGACTTGGGTGCTGGGAACCAGACCCATGTCCTCTGGAAGAGCCGTGGTCTCTCTTAACCATGAGCTCCAGCCCCTATAAGGCCCTTATACATCTATCCAACTTGACCATTTCTTTTTCTTTTTTTCCTCTGCCTTAGAACTGATTTTTCTAAGAACTCTCGTGCTGTTGTTTCACATTTACTGGCCTTTGTACTTGCCTTCAATTAAATAGTCATTTGTTTTTGTCCCTGTGGCGAATGTCAGTTCTCATAAAGCCCCCTTTGTAACCACTTGCTAGGGTACAGTTGAGTGACATGAAGTGTATTCACACTGTCATATCTCTGTCGTCACCATCCCTCTTCCTGCAAAACTGAAACTTCATAACTGCTACATCCTCACTCT